CCCCCCCCCCCCGTCAGCCCTCCACCAGGCTCTACATTATTGATGCTGAGTGTGTGTGTCTGTGTGTGTGTCTGTGTGTGTGTCTGTGAGTGTGTGTGTCTTTAACAGTGTATATGCATGCTGTAATGGCTATCTGGTGTCTCCCCGAGGAGGGATGGGGGAGTGAGGGAGGAAACAAGCCACAGGAGGGAGAGTGGAGGTCAAAGAGGTCAAGTGGGGGGGGGGTGAGGTCATGATCTGTAGTTTCTCTCACTTTGTTTCACTGTTGTTGTTGGTTTTTACTGAAGCACTGCTTCATACAGACACATGGACGTGTGTGTGTGTGTGTGTGTGTGTGTGAGTGTGTGTGTGTTTGTGTGTGTGTGACCTCTGTGTTCCAAGCAGGAGTCAAAAAGATCATTACATCAGTTACTGCAGAAAGAGCACTTCTGGACAGGGATGTGAACTGATACCAGTTTGGAGACTCAGGTTCCATCATCAATATCACTTATTGATCTGAGTCCTCATTGATCCTGATTGGTTCATGGAGTGAACATGAACTTCACCTCTATATATCACAGTGACTGTAGTATCGCAGTGTGTCGTATCAGTACCGATTCTTACCAACACACGTCGTACTGAACAGGAAAGGCCAGACCTGGGGGTGTTCTCACAGGGACTGACAAAGTTCCAGAGGAGCCTGGAAAGTTTCTGTGTCCAAATTGAGGAGGTTCATTCATTTTAGGATAATTAAGAGAGGAAACGAGCAGGTCTACAGTTAGTCAGAAGTTGTGACTTTGAGTCAGTTGTTTCCTGCGTGGTCGTCAGCACCGAGCTGTGAAGACGTCTCTGTCCTGGAAAGGAACAGATAAGGTTCACCAGAACAGAACTTTAGAAAAGGCTGTTCCATCTGCCCCCGCCCTAAATTAGCAGCTGGAAACCTGCCCCCTCCCCCCGTGCCTCCCCCTCGTCTCAGCACAAACAGGGCGCTGCAGAGAAGTTGTCCCGTTGATGAAGGGCTGCAGCAGCCGCCGTGCTCCGCAGATTCATGGACACACTCTGAGGCAGATGTGCCATCAACATTATTTGGTGTTATGCAACAGTGAGACGGTAAGAGCCGGTTAGAGCAGCACAGATTATCGTGACCATCTATCTATCTGCGCCTCGGGCTGTCGTCCACAAATCCACTGACAGGCCGCTGCATCTGTAATCTGATGATTTGAATGTGTTTGTTTCCCAGTCAGCACTCTCTGAGTCTGTGGTTCAACACCCGCTGTCAGAGGTTCTCTGTTCGACTTTAAAGATGATGTTAATCAAAGATGTTTCAGTGGAAAAAAAACACTGACGTTCACATGTATCTGGTCCTGGTTCTAGTGAAAAAAAACACTGACGTTCACATGTATCTGGTCCTGGTTCTAGTATCTGGTCCTGGTTCTAGTATCTGGTCCTGGTTCTAGTATCTGGTCTTGACTGTTTCATGGTTTTATCATTTCATCTGGAGGACACAGTCGTCTGAGTGAGTGACTCAGACGACTGTGTCATGTGTCAAGGATACGATACGTATCACGATACGGGTACAATATACTGCGATACTATTGGTCAGATGATATATTGAAGTTTTTTATGAAACAATTGAAGGTGGCCCAGTATCAGACTGCTGGCGCTGGTTCTGCTCCGTCCTGTCCAACCTGGACCACCCAGAAGGGGGCGTCAGTGGGAGAAGCTGAATCTTAAACTTTACGTTTAGCTGCACACGTGTAAACACCCACATCTGAGTCTGGGTCTGAGTCTGGTTCTCTGCTCCTCCTCCTCCAGCCTGTAGGTGGAGACAGTCAGCTCAGATGACTGTCTGTGTTGTTTCCCTCCGGTCATCGGAAAGTCTCACTGCGTGTGTGTAAAAAGGTGGAGGAGAGGTGGAAAAGATTTTGTTTTTCTGAAGAACTGTTCCATCAAGCCCACTGACGCCACCTGGTGTTTCCTGTGAGCGTCATCGGTGGTGATTGGCTTATTCACAACTAGGGGGCGATATGTGTGGTGATTCAGGGACAATGATCTGATTTACTGCAGGTCAGTTGAGTTCATCAAAAAGAAAATGAATATTGAACTGTGACTAAATGGACGGAGAGTCAGTTTGTTCTTACCTCAGTATCAACAACGTCACTAACTGACGGTCCATCAGGGTGGACCTGCTCCAAGGTGGTAGGACACCTGAACCACACACACACACACACACACCAACTGACTTACACTCTTCTCTCCAGTTTCCCCCCGTACCAAGAACAGAAATGGTTCTGAACCCACAGCCGGGAACTGACCCTCATTATTGTATTGTTCTGATGCAGGCTTTGCTTTCCCAGAATGGGCTTACAAGCCTGAATCCAGCCCCGGCTCCAGGCAGATTCAACTGTGGCACTTCATCCTGGAGCTGCTGAGGAAGGAGGAGTACCATGATGTCATCGCCTGGCAGGGCGACTACGGCGAGTTCGTCATCAAGGACCCGGACGAGGTGGCCCGACTGTGGGGGGCCAGGAAGTGTAAACCCCAGATGAACTACGACAAACTGAGCAGGGCACTGAGGTGAGATTATAATCCTAACTCCTGACCTCTTCTTCACTTAATCTGTCGTCCAATCAGTCATGAGGTGAAGAGCCCAGCGGGAAGAGATTTGATTGGCTGACAGCTGACATGGTTAAGATGATGATGAAGTTCAGTCACTAACTCACTAACTACACACTAACTAGTTCCTGAACCCAAACTGACCATCCAAAGTAGTTGTTACATCAGTACTCACCAGTGAAAGAACTCTGACTGATGTGGTGAGTATGTTTTTGGTCAGTTATGTAAACGCCCCCCCCGTCCCCCCCCCAGACTGGACCGACATGTGGACCCAGACAGAACCCCCGTCCTGCTGGTGTTACGCTCCCCTGAGTTTGAGAACCCTCCTGTGACCATGATTCTTCTCATTGTTTCA